GGGGGTGGGGCGCACTGTCCCCCAATCCAGTGCCGAAGCATGGCCACGAGAACGCACACCAAGGACACGATCGGGAGCGGCCAAGAGGGGGGTGTCCAAGAGGGGGGGGTGCAAATCATGACCAGCGGCATGTGCGCGGCCCAGCGGGGGGGGGCCAGGGACGTAATGAAATAAGAAGAGGCGCCACGAGATCTGGGGAAATATCATGGCCCACGCCATGATATCCACCCCCCCCTAGTCATCACCCCCCTCTTTTCCGCCCCCGAAATCTAGTGCCGAAGCATGGCCACGAGAACGCACACCAAGGACACGAGCCCCTTCGCCAGGGCGCCGGGGAAGCTCCGCGGAGATCCCCCCCGAGTCGGGGAAGCTCCGCGGTGCAGGGCCCGAGCGCCCAGGGCACAAGCGGGCGGCGACGTCCGAAGCCCACACCCCGCCAGTCATCGAGCTCTCCTGACACGCTGGGTTCGGACTCCGCCTGCTCCACGATCGGGGATCTTCTGACCCGGGTCAATCCAGACCCGGGTCAGCAAGAAACCAAAAACTGCAATGCAGGGAAAAAAAACTGCAACGCAGGTCCTCGCAAACCCGGGTCAGCCAATAGGCGCGGCCGCCTCGCGGCCACGAGCGGCTCCCTAACCCGGGTCGGTCAGAGGGGGTCTTCGCAGGATCCTGCAGGATCTGGCGCCCTGGCTGACCCCCGTTTGCATTGACCCCCGTCTCGAGGCTTCCGACACGAGTTCCGAACCCTGCCCCCGGCGCCCATCTGGTTGCCCGAATCGTTGATCGGCGAGGGTAGTGCTCGGATGTCGCCGTCGAAGGAGGGCACACCCCACAACTAGATTGCATCCTGGCCCTCGTGCCGGCCACAAACCGGGTGGAGATCGGCCCTGAAGGACCCCTAAGCTGCCACCCCGCGTCCAAAGAGTGTTGGAAGGGTGCGCCTTTTAGAGCTCGACCTCGACAAGGATTGCCGTTTTCATTGTGTCGTCGTCTTCCCCCGTTCTGCCTTCACTCCCCCTGCGCTGCAGAAGCCAATGAAAGCCAAAACGGCCCACGCAATCGCCAGACCACCACTTGACTCGAGCCCCGGCTGCGCCCTTCTGCACCCCCCGTGGCCGCCCGTCCGAGACGGTCCCGACGCGGGAACCCGACGCGGCCCAGTGGCTTCAAAACGACGAGTCCCTGCGCCGACCTCCTCGGCCGGCAGGGGGGCGCCACAGGCACCGAGCGCAGGGAGAGAGCAGACTTGGGCGCCCGAGTTATCCGGGGTAACTCGGGTCCGGGGTAACTCGGGTTCGGGTTCCCGAAAAAGCGAACCCGAGTTATCCCTGACCCGAGTTACCCCTGATGATTCGGGGCTCTGGGCGCCCGAGTTATCCGGGGTAACTCGGGTCCGGGATAACTCGGGTTCGGAATCCCGAAAAACGAACCCGAGTTAGCCCTGACCCGAGTTACCCCTGATGATTCGGGGCTCTGAGCAGACCCTCTGCGAACGCGAGCGCGGCGCCCCTGCTGCGAGCGCCCTCGGGCGGCACGCCAGGCTGCCCCAGCGAGGCCAGCGAGGCCCCGAGAGGCGGGCCCTCAGAGGCCCCGAGGAAGCCCCCAACATTCCACAGCAAGGCCTCAAGTGGGATGCACAAAGACGTACTAGTACTAGATGTCCTCCTTGGAGGCGCGCGTCCGACCCGAACATATAGTATACCCATCTTGTAGTATATCGTTTCCCGAGCGGTGTGGCCAGAAAGCGCCCGCCACGACGCATATACTATAAGATTTCTCGGTGCGCGCGTCGCCCCTGGGGGGGCGACGCACATATAGTATAAGTATGTTGGGGTGTTGCCGATCAAGATGATCCCTCCGAGATGCCCTCGAAAGCCCAAGATGCCTCAAGGGAACCCCATGGTATGCCAAGACAGCCAGGACATGTTTTACGAGCGGCCGCAAACAGACATCGAGCAGACATTGAGAAGGCGGAGATGTGGTTCCGATGCGAGGGCTGGCTGGAAAAGGCCGAACACCCTTCTACAAACGATTCCCCCAACGGTGCTCGCATGTATGGTTTCTTACTTCCGTTCCTTGCCACCTCGTGGGCGCTCGTGAGCGCCCCGTGCTCTGGGTGGGCTCGCCCCAGTTGCGCCACGCGGCCGACTCGTGGCTGCTCGTGGGCGCCCCGTGCGCTTAGCTTACACCACCTAGCTCGCACCACATGAATTGCGCCAGCCAACATACTGCACACCGCATAAACTCCATCTCCAACTCACACCATATGATGCACCCGGCATAGCTTACACCCGATGTACACCGCATAGCTTCCAACATGGGACGCGCCATCTTTTACACTGTCTAGATGTCAACCTCTGATACGCTTACAGCTCCAGCTTACACCTCCATAGTGTACGCCGCATAGCTTTCAGCATAAGATACGCCATATCTTATGGTCCATACATTGCGCCGCGAAGTGCTGGGCCCCTTAACTCATACCACATAGCTTACACGGCATAGCTTACACCACGTAGCCCACACAGCATAGCTTCCACATCCACGGTGCAATAACTCACAGTGTGAGGATCACGCCAGCTAACATATGTGGAACACTCTGATAATCCACAGATACAAATGGATCGATCAGCACATACGTGTACACACCTGTCATATCTATGCATGTATGCATACTGGTGTCATATATATATACATATATATGTACCAACTGCTATACTGTTATGTATAGATGCATTGTGTATGCATAGACGACAGGAAGGGAGGAGGGGATACGCGAGAGCGGGAAGAGGTAGAGAGAGAGAGAGCAAGAGAGAGAGCGAGAGGTATGGAGAGAGGGGGAGGGGGGGGAGCGAGAGAGAGACTGTGAGGGGGAGCGAGAGAAAGAGAAACACAACAACAAACGATACAGTGAGTGAGTGAGTGAGAGAGGGGTGGCGCGGCCTGGTTCAGCACAACCTGGCGCCCACGATCCGTTCGCTTGTCGCATACTTCTCATCCACATCCTCCTCCCCGGTATTCTCTTTCTGTCTGTCGTTCGGTCGTGTGGCATTTGGCATGTTCATCACGAACTAGTCGATCGACTCCCGCTACTCCCGCAAACAAGCTCGTGTTCTGGGCCTCGTCCAAACAATAACGCGACATGTGAGAACAGAAACTGCGCGCACAACACGACGAACGCATCTCCGTTATTCTGCTATACTAGCTTCTCCCTGCCGTGCTCCCGCACCCGCCCCTTATCTCGAACACTAAGACCACACGACGCAACTCGTCAACTTAGCCGTCCGGGAAACAGACCGGACTTGCCCGTGGAGGGCAATCAAACCGCCCTCGACCGACATCTGCGCAGGGGCGATTGCGTTGGCATGGGGACGTTGACATTGAGAAGGAAATCATCAACGAGCAAACTCAAGCCACGAACGACCATGCACGATACCACCAACATAGCACGAACGCACACCCAGATGCGAATGTCGAGCGACCAGACCTTATGCCACGTCCCCGAGGGAAGGGGTGCGCGATGCCTGAACTTGTCCTGGCACGTAGGGCGCGCCCAGGGTCGACAGCAGGGTGCCTGCTGTGCGGCCAACGCTCATCGCACCCGCCACGCATGCAGTGTGTACCCTCCCCGATGGCCCACTCGAGCGGCAAGCATCGACGACATGTCGCAGACATGGCAGCAAGTCGGCAGACGATGGAGACTTACACGATGCATTCCCGCCGTGCCTCCCTTCCTGACTCCACTTCTGCCAGCTCCCTGGTCTCACTTGCCACCTCCCCATGCACTGCTCCACTCAACGATTCCTCTGCCCTCCTCTCCTCCATTGCCCTCCCCTGCCCTTCTCTCTCCTGTCGTACTTCGCTGGATCTTTCTGTCTGTTGACCGTCTTCTCCTGAATTCTCACTACACCAGCAGGACAAAGAAGTACAACGAGTCTCCGTTCTTCGACGACATGCGGATGCATCCAAGCACTAAGCCCCTCTCCCCCTCTACGGGGCGTCCAAGAAGGGGCGTCCAAGAGGGGGGGGGCGCAAATCATGGCCAGTGGCCTGTGCGCGGCACAGGGTGGGGGGGCGGGGACGTATCAAAATAAACATCCGCCGCTCTGCGGTTGATCGGGAGTTTCTGTATATATAGAAGAAGGGGCGCGCGCTTCTGGGCGAGAGGGAAACGACCGAGAGAAGAAGGGGCGGCCGCCCCACAGGACCTCTCCATGGTGCCGGAAGCCCATCAGGGCTCCCTCAGGGCCCCTCCCCCAGGGCCGGGGCTCCCTCGCCTGCCCCCTCCCCCTCCTCCTCCTCCTCCTCCTCCTCCTCCTCCTCCTCCTCCTCCTCCTCCTCCTCCTCCTCCTCCTCCTTCGCCCCCGTCGGCATATCCAGGCGTGTTATGCAGTCAGGTCGTCCGTCCGGAAACGGTGCCGGAGGCCGCTCTGGGCTCCTCTGGGCATCCCCCCCGGGGCCCGTTTTGTGAGGATGTCTCAGGCGAGGGCGCCGGTTTGGGATTCGTCACCGGATCCAGCGGATCCAGCGGATCCGTCCGGAAACGGTGCCGGAGGCCGCTCTGGGCTCCTCTGGGCATCCCCCCCGGGGCCCGTTTTGTGAGGATGTCTCAGGCGAGGGCGCCGGTTTGGGATTCGTCACCGGATCCAACGGATCCAGCGGATCCAGCGGATCCAGTCCGGGAAACGGTGCCGGAGGCCGCTCTGGGCTCCTCTGGGCATCCCCCCCGGGGCCCGTTTTGTGAGGATGTCTCAGGCGAGGGCGCCGGTTTGGGATTCGTCACCGGATCCAGCGGATCCAGCGGATCCAGCGGATCCGTCCGGAAACGGTGCCGGAGGCCGCTCTGGGCTCCTCTGGGCATCCCCCCCGGGGCCCGTTTTGTGAGGATGTCTCAGGCGAGGGCGCCGGTTTGGGATTCGTCACCGGATCCAGCGGATCCAGCGGATCCAGCGGATCCGTCCGGAAACGGTGCCGGAGGCCGCTCTGGGCTCCTCTGGGCATCCCCCCCGGGGCCCGTTTTGTGAGGATGTCTCAGGCGAGGGCGCCGGTTTGGGATTCGTCACCGGATCCAGCGGATCCAGCGGATCCGGATCCGGAAACGGTGCCGGAGGCCGCTCTGGGCTCCTCTGGGCATCCCCCCCGGGGCCCGTTTTGTGAGGATGTCTCAGGCGAGGGCGCCGGTTTGGGATTCGTCACCGGATCCAGCGGATCCAGCGGATCCAGCGGATCCGTCCGGAAACGGTGCCGGAGGCCGCTCTGGGCTCCTCTGGGCATCCCCCCCGGGGCCCGTTTTGTGAGGATGTCTCAGGCGAGGGCGCCGGTTTGGGATTCGTCACCGGATCCAGCGGATCCAGCGGATCCAGCGGATCCAGCGGGATCCAGCGGATCCGTCCGGAAACGGTGCCGGAGGCCGCTCTGGGCTCCTCTGGGCATCCCCCCCGGGGCCCGTTTTGTGAGGATGTCTCAGGCGAGGGCGCCGGTTTGGGATTCGTCACCGGATCCAGCGGATCCAGCGGATCCAGCGGATCCGTCCGGAAACGGTGCCGGAGGCCGCTCTGGGCTCCTCTGGGCATCCCCCCCGGGGCCCGTTTTGTGAGGATGTCTCAGGCGAGGGCGCCGGTTTGGGATTCGTCACCGGATCCAGCGGATCCAGCGGATCCAGCGGATCCGTCCGGAAACGGTGCCGGAGGCCGCTCTGGGCTCGTGCTCTTCGCGCCGGGGGTGAGGATGACGTGAGTTCCACAGAAACTCCCTCAAACAACAGTCGCCATGAAATCTGGGGACAGACCATGGCCCCCGCCAGGACATACTCCTCCCCCCTAGGCATCTCCCCCCTCGTGGCCGCCCCAGAACAAAGCTCCCCTCCCTAGAGGCCTCCTAGATAGGGTCCGAGTAGATGGGGTCGAAGGATCGCGCCACATCGCCAATGCATTGCCACTGCAGTGCCAATGCATTGTCTTTGCATCGGCGATGTGTCGGCGATGCATCGGCGACGCATCGGCGACGTCGGCGTGGGGAAGCACGGTCTTCACATCGAGCTGCATCGCTGATGCATATGCGATGCAGCACGATCCTCCGAGCCCATCCACTCCGACCCCACCTAGGAACGGGGATCTTCTGACCAGGATCAATCCAGACCCGGGTCAACCAAGCCTTGCAGAATCCAGAGCAGTCCTGCACCCAAGCCCGAGCCAATGCGAAAGATCCTGCGAGATCCTGCAGGATGCTGCACCCAAACCCGGGTCAGTGCGACCCTGGCCCTAGAAGATCTTGCAAGGTCCGGCGCTCTGGCTGACCCCCCGTTTGCATTGACCCCGGTCTCTTGAGCCCCGATAGGAGGCCTGTCCTCTTTCCTCCTCCTCCTCCTCCACCTCCTCCTCCTCCTCCTCCGCCGTCTTCGCCCCGACTCTTGAGCCCCGATGTCGAGGGCAGAAAATCCCCCCATAATAATAACGAGCACGACGCGCGAAGCCGTTTGACAAACGCGCCCAAAGGAGGAATCAAATCAGGCAGGGCTGTGAAATAAACGCCCAAGGCCGCTCAGTAAACGCCACTTGTCCGGTCCGGGTGATTTGTCCCCCCTTGGCGATAGGAGGCCTCGACTCCCCCTCCCAACGGCCGGGCCCTCGGACATCGACCACCCGAGAAGAGCGGCGGCCGGGCCCTCGGGGGGAAGGCAGAACCCCAGGGCCAAGGCGATCGGCGCCCCGGGGCCTCCTCCTCCTCCTCCTCCTCCTCCTCCTCCTCCTACCCCTCCTCACACCCTCCCTCCTCCCCCTCCTCCTCCTCCGCCACCCCCCCCTCCTCCAATCCTCCTCCTCCTCCTCCTCCCCTCCCTCCTCCTCCCACTCTCTTTTTCTTCCTCCTCCCCCTCCCCCCCTCCCTCCTCCTCCTCATACTCCTCCTCCTCCTCCTCCCTCCTCCCTCCTCCCTCTCCCCTCCTCCTCCTCCTCCTCCCCTCCTCCTCCTCTCCTCCTCCGCCTCCTCTCCTCCTCTCCTCCTCCTCCTCCTCCTCTCTCCTCCTCCTCCTCCCCCGCCCTCCTCCTCCCTCCTTCTCTTCTTCCTCCTCCTCATTCGCCCCTTTCCTGGGTGCTTCTCATATTCCTCCTGCTGCTCCTTCATCTCCTCTTCGCCTTCCCTCCAATTTCCTCGCCCTCCCTTCCCCAGCGGCTGCTGCCCCTGCCTGCTCCTGCTCCGCCACGATCCGCCTGCTCCGTCTGGCGCTGCAATTCCGCATCCTCCCACTCCTGCCGCTGCTCCCGCTACCTCCTCTCCCCTCCCGCACTTCCCATTCCCCCCATCCGAGCCCCCCCTCCCTCCTCTCCCCCCGAGATCCGTCCTCCTTGCCCCCCTCGTCCTCCTCGCCCTCGTCGTCCGCCGTTTCCTCTTGCCCTATTCGACGACGTCGTCGCTGTCTCGATGCTGCAGCCAGCAGAGATGGCGAAGCCGGCGCCCAGCTGATCGACAGCTGCCACTCGGAGCAGAGCACGACGGGGAAACCTCGACGCCGCGACGCCAAGGGGCGCCCACCGACGGAAAAATGCACCCTCCATAGTCCACCTTTGGAGCCCGCCCACACGTGGTCGAACCAGATGGCGACGGTGGAGCGCTGATGCATCGCCGATGCGGCACGATCCACTGGACACCATCTACTCCAGCCTAAGAGGCCCGAACATGAGCGCCAACACCAGCATAGGGGGTTGTCCCGACTGGGAATCTATGATCCTGGACGGTGGTGTTGGTGGCAATTTCCGGCCACCTAAAAAGCCCGAACATCAACACCATCACCGAGATCGGAACCATCTTCCCCCGGTGGAGGCACATCGCCGGTGTTGGTGCTGGTGTCAACCTCTAGGTCTCTGGCAGCCCCACGTGGGCGGCCTGGACCCTGGGCTCCACGGCCGAGGTGACCCCCCGCGACGGCGGAAACTCAGAACCTCTCTCTTCGAGGCGGCCCGCTCTGGCGCAGCACCCGCCGCCGCGACGCGGGCACTTGCGTGGAGGGATCGCCCTCGGGGCACGAGCCGTTTGGCGGGAGGGCGAGGAGAGGGGCGAGGAGGGGAGCACGGGGAGGAGGGCGAGGAGGGAGAGCGAGGAGGGCGAGGGGAGAGACGAGGGGGAGGACGAGTATTGCCAGCCCAGATCCCTGGAGGGGGGGGGCGCGCAGCATCAACGACCCTTTGCGGTTAGCAGGGGGGAAATTGGTCCTGAGGGAAACGGGTCTGGGACCGAGGAGAGGGAGGAGGAGGATGATTAGAAGGAGGGGGGGGAGAGGAGGAGGAAGAGGAGGAGGAGGAGGAGGAGGAGGAGGAGGAGAGGAGGAGGAGGAGGAGGAGGGGGAGATGGAGGAGGAGGGGGAGATGGAGGAGGAGGAGGAGGAGGAGGAGGAGGGGGAGATGGAGGAGGAGGAGGAGGAGGAGGAGGAGGAGGGGGAGAAGGAGGAGGAGGAGGAGGGGGTGCCTTCCCCCTGGACGAGATCTTCATCCCAAATGGTGTTCCGACGGCCCCGAACGCCCGACGGCGGTGGGAGCCCTCGGGCCCCGTGCCGCTCGGCGGGTCGCCGCCGAGGTGTCCGAGTGCTCCCGGCTTCCGGGGCCGCGTCGGGCGCTCCCCGGGCGTTCCCTTTGCGAGCACGGGGGCTCGTCGGCTGGTGGCACTTCGAGAGAGGCCTCGGGAGCGCGGTGTGGCGCCGGGGGCCCACGCCCCCCCCGGGTGGTGCACATCGAGGTTCTTTTGTTTCTCCTCTTTTTGATTCAATTTTTTATGGGCCCCCGGACCCCCTCGAAAAGCTATAGAGAAAGCGTCGCACCCAAAAACCTCCGAGTTGGGTTCTGTTTTCGGGGGTCGTCCCCCCTGGAGCCCAGGGGTGCCGGAGAAGGCTCGACAAACCATCGGGGAAACCCCGAGTTGGAGGGTGTGGCTAGCTTTCTTCATTTTCTTGAACACTTCCTCTCAGAAGCGATATTGTTTTTATTTGTGGGGTCCAAGCCCCCCCCGAACAAACACCCGAGCTGGGGCATGGCTTTCGGTGGTTCTTCGGGTGGCTTTCCGGGGAAATGTTCAGAGCCAGTCTTGCTTATAAGTGCGGGGGGCTGGAGCACCCCGAAAGCCCCCATTAAAAACCTCGAGCAGCTTTGTTGTTATGTGTTATTGTTGTTTCTTGTTTTTTTTTTTTTCCTCTGCTATCCCAGAGGGCAAGACCGATGCCAATGACTTAGCGGCCGCGACTGCGGCTTCGAGAAACATCTCGAGGGGCTGCTGCCCTTGCAGCAGCCTCCCGTGCCTGAATACGTGCCACGAGAGCGAGCATGCCTGGCGTCTGAGGCAGGGACTCCATCCCGCGCGAAGGCTGACGAACTTCGGGCGGCGGCGGCAGGGTCGCCGCGTACTGCATGTAGGCCGCTCCACGGCGGCTCGACACACTGAGACGAGAACCCTCCTCCCTATAATGAGGGTGCTGGCCTTCGAAAATACGGCGGAGGGTAGTGGGGGCCCCAGCTAGCTTGCGCAGCGGACAGTCACGGCCTAAAAGGTAACACATCTTGGCCGTGTAGGCCCCACAAGTAGTACAGAAATACATTGTAGACTCGATCTCGTTTTTGGTCACACGCGTATGCGCTAGCGTGTGGCCTTTACTGAAGTCGAGGACCCCCCGCCAGGTTTTGCTCGGACCAGGGCAGCCGATCATGGGTCTGGTGGTGGGGTCTTTCCAAAAAGTTAGACATCTCAAACATCGCGCTCGCCCTTCCTCTAGGGGCTCCCAAGCGTGCCAGCCCCCCGATTTGAGGAAGCGCGCGCGAGGGCCCGAAGGAGGGCGATCAAACCGTTCGACCTCGAAAACACACAAAACTTTGGCCAACACTCTGGCGGAAAACTTCAGCTTGACTAATTTCGAATCGATGATGTCCGAATTCACGTTCGAGGGTCGGGGGTGGAGGAAGAGGGCGTGCTTGGCGAGCGAGTCTGCGAAACTGCTGCCAACGGCGATCCTCTTGTCCACGGGCGAGAGCAAATCGATAACCTCTTTCGACCGATGCGCTGGTGTGTGCTGCACAACAATGTCATGATCACGTTTTTCATGAAGCAGGGCCCCTCGTCGCATTCCTGCATACCGGTGCTTGGCCGACGTCTGGTGCGTCGGGCTGGAGAGGCAGAGCTTGACCACAGTCATGCAATCGCTGATTCGTGTACCCGTGTACTCTACATAGATGGGCAGGCAGGCCATGGCTTGGTGCTCGGCTGCCTGCGGCGTCTGGGGAAGAACGTCCCACACAGTTCCTTTAGCGTAGGCCACAATAGTTTCACCTGGGCCCAAGAACACCCAGGCGTAGGAAGCACGACTAAGTTCGCGCACAGAGTGACGGAGACAGGATCCGCCCATGCAAACTTCGCACCCTCGCAAGTCGACAGATCCCCACGCGATCTCGGCCCCCTCGGCCGAGTAGAGGGTGGGGGCGGGGTTTTTTGACGGAGGAGGGTGGAGGGTTTCGGGGTGTTCGAGTTTTAGCTCATCCCATAAAAACCGATCTTCACTTTCCAGGGCCTCCTGTAACAGCTCTAGCTGTTATCCAACAGCTTCAGCACGGGCAGCCCGTGCAGTCTCATGCTGACAAAGCCACCCGCGGTGTCTGATGCTGTCGACCTCACCGCATAAGGGGCATCTACCGTCGCTCTGGTATCCTGCGGCGCGAGCTCGCGCGCGGGCCCAGATTCCACTGCAAAAGACTGAGCTGGCAAGGTATTTTCCCGAACGCTCAAAACCTTGGACTTGGGCCCCAATTGTTTTTGCAAGGGGTCAAGGGTCACTCGGGAACCAAGGAAGTTCGGGGAATCCGAAGCCAGCTTCCGTTCAAAACTACGCTGAGTGGCCAACCTAAGCAAACGACTCACCATGCTAGGGGAGTTAAAGCCGAGGTGCACTTCGCGACCGCAGTCATCCTCCCAAGTGAGGGCAGATGTGGCGCACCAGCCCGCACGAAACAGACACAGATGCATTCTCTGGATGGGCCCCCTCGAACTCTTCCAAGACACATCTTGGTCGAAAGGCACTCGGCACCACATCTGACAAACTTCCTTGACCGAGTAGTGGGAGGTCGAGGGAGAAGTGATGGCCGTCCAAACGATAGTGGCCCAATGCACCGCTGGGGCCACGCTCGCGCGATCAACGGGGCCCCCGTGCAAGGCAAGTTTGGCCGTGAGGGAGCAACCACGGTGGTGGGGGGGTTTGTAGGAGAGGAGGACGCGTCTGGCCTGTGACAATTCCCAGTCGCTCATACAACAGCCGAGCCGAAAGTCGCAGCAGGAGCAACGCCTGCAACATAAATCTTACCAGTGCGCCCCTTCTGTCGTGGAAGTCGGCCCCTCATTTTCTGCAACTTCTTATGACGCTTGAACATGGAATCGAAACGAGATCGGCGTTTCCAGAGGGCATTACGAGCCGACCTCACCTGACCAGGGGCAAGATCGGTGCCAAGAGACACGGTACTGTTCGTGACAAGGCCGGCCTTCTGGCCGAGAAGGGTGCCGAGCTTTCTGGCCAACGAAAGAGAACTTCCGAACGTAGTGAATTTATCCGCCTGGAGGCCGACCATCAAACTGTCGCGGAAGATCACATACATGTGCGCACAAGCCTGGACCATGCGACTGAGAGCCTCCTGTTCCGTATCCGCCTGCGTCGTCAGAGCGTCGTCGTCGACGTAGGAGGAGAGAGGGGCGAGGGGGTTGGCCAACGCGTAGCCGTCGAAAGCCTCGAGGCTGTACACACGGACAAACAGGTCGTTAAATCCGTCGCCAGCGGGCAGGCCCCACGTGGCGAAGTAGGGGATCGTGCCATACATACTGCCGAGCCGAACGATTCGGGGTCCTCGCCAGAAGTTAAAGGTGGTTTTAACGATGACTTCCTGGAACCCAAACTTAAGAGCACGATCCCTGAGCAAGACTAAATCGAAACTTTCGTAGAATTTGGTGCCGTCCCAAATAACCCCGAGAGAAACTTGGCCCGTCTGGGCCGCCACTTCACAGGCCGCCGCCTGATGCCGCACGGCATCCTCTGGGCTGCGGCCAGGGCCGAAGGCCCAAAAGCGTCGGGGGAAACGATCGTTAAAGTCGGTGAGCCAGGGCCTACGGAGGCGCTCCCAGACACGAACGGGCGCGGCACACAACAAAATGGGGCGGAGCCCACCCTTGGGTTTCTCCAACAAGGGGAAGAGTAACCAAAACAACTGTTTGGGGAACAGTCCCAACGATTCAATAGCCTGGACAAGGGCGCCGAAGGTGTCGAGAGCCGCATCCGAGACCAGAGAGAGCTGCCGCGGGTGCAGCCCGTCGAGCGACTGCGAGGTGAGCGCCGAGAAGCTGGCGCTGGCGCTGCGGATATCTCCTGCAGTCGGCCGCGGAAGATGATTCCTATTGGGAACCCACACGGTAGACGGCGCGGCGCTGGCGTGCCAAAAACTAGCCAGCGCCTCGCTTTCAGCCTCGAGCAGGCCCCGATGGGTTGG